AATTTTCTGTTCTCACAAAATCACGGATAGCGACCACCTTAATTTTCGCAGAATCTGTGTATAACCATCAGAAGAGCCCAAAATTAACGTTAAATCACCATCAAATCAGGCAAAGCGACGGAGCCACAAACCCGAACAACGGTTGAAAAGGGTTCAGTCTTTATGGGACGTCCCATGGCTGGATCAACTGATCAAGCATCCGGACTATCCAATTTCAATCCAACGCCCCTCAGGACGCCGGCCAAGGACCCGAGCCTCGCCACCAGTTCCGCCACCTGAGCCCTCAGCACGCAGTTATCGGCGGCCACCGCTGTGTACCCTTCCTTGACCTCGTCGATTCTGCACAGAATGAGTTTGTTCTCACACTGGAGCCTCCCCAGATCGCTCGTCAAATCTTCCAGAAGCTTCTGCTTCCTCATCCTCGACCTCCTCGCTGAATCTCTGTTAGAGATCATTCTCTTCCTCTTCCTCTCGTCCCCCATTGACGCGTTCGAGCTGCTGCTCGTCTGCCTCACGCTCGACATTGCAATCGAGTATTATCAGATTCTATGTGGGTCTTGAATATTTGCAAAAATTAGATTTGCGATGAAAATTGGGATGAAAAAGTCAAATGAAAAGAGGTGGGACTAATTAGCTCATGAAAACATGTAGAAGTAATGGAGCAACACAATAGATAATGATTGGACGAGACAGACATGCAGGAGGGTGGCGTAAGTCATAGACACATGAGCAATTCAGAAATCTGTTTCCAGAATCAAAATTTACCCAAAACGAAAACAAACCCAGAAACAGAAAGGAAACTTCGCTCAATAATCAAATTCCCACAGACATCAAATATTCATAATCATCATTAATAGAAACAAACCCAGAAGAGCAGAAAGTGGGGAAACGGATAAGAAAGAATTGAGGGGAGATAGAGAGAAATGGTGGCTGGACGGATAAGAAGAAGGTGATTCGTGCTAATCCCAGACTGGTTTATGGATATATATCCATTCTTATCAATTGCGTATTTAGCAGTCTAACGGTCCGACGGGGGGGACGGACGTGAGGGGACGTCGCTTAACGGGGTTTGGCGCCACTGATTGACGATCGTTAGGTGACGGTTTGACTCGGGACCTGTTTTGCTTGCAAGCATGAAAGAACGTTGGTGAACACTCCGGACTCGGCAGTGGGCCCCTCACAATGCAGGGCCTGTCAGTGGGTCCACTGCATTGTGAGAAGGATTGTATCGGTGCCTTCCGTATAATTGTCTAAGAATGTTACGTGCATATCATTGTTACTTTTTGGATTAAGTGTGAATATTTTATTGGATGCTACCGTAATTGGAAAGCTGTTTGCAAGAAAGACCCGTTTTAATTAATATGATTTTTTTGTATTTATAATTTTTGGTAAAAAAATAATTGTAATTGAAAATTTAACTTAGCACTTTCGTACTAAAATTACATAAAAGCCCACTGCTTAATCGAAAAATTACAATTAAATATATGGTCAAATGAACTTAACCACCAACCAAAATGACATTATAGCCACTTAAGAGTTTCATATCAAAATCATAAGAAAATGCCCTGCTCAGCCCTAGTTAATGGACCAAATGCCCCTCGATTAAGAGGGAAGCATGACCAAACAAAATGACAAAAAGGCTCCGACCACCCAACCCCCTCTTCATTTTATGAGCCTGGTATAGGACTTTAATGTGTTAAATTTTAATTTTAATTTATTTTAAATTTTAAAAATTTAAATTGATTAAAATATATGATAAATTAAATTTGATTGAAATATTTATAATATAAAATAAGTTAATTGAATAAAAATTATGTAATTTGATTCATTAAAAAATTTGCATCTATGTTTTAATAAATATTTTTTGTTAAATGAATAATTTTATTAATAATATATAATTGTAACACCCAAAACCAATTCAAAAAAAAAAAAAAGGAATGAAAGAATGAAGAAAAAGAAAATAGAAAGGAAGAAAGTACTTAAACCACTTTGGATTGAGTTTTATTTTATTTAGAATGTATTTTGAGGAATTTGGGGAAGGTAAGAAGTGTTTGGGAAGTTTTAGAAGAAATGAAGTTTTTGTAAAAAAAAAAAAAAAAAAAGTTACTGTAGCAGCGAGGCGCGGCGCGGTGCTCGCTGGTTTACCGCGCCGTAGCGCGGCCCGGGCGCACTACAACGCTATGGCCACTGGAATTTGACCGCTGCAGCGCGTGGACCGCGCTACAGCGCGCCAAACACGGGTTTTTTTACCAATTTTCTTGAAATTTTGATATTTTTAACCTCTCCAAGAACCCTTAAACTCTCTTAAATTCCTAAACACTATAAAACAAAGATTTGGGAGATATCCTAGGGTACCCAAAATTTATCCAAAAATTAATTATGATTAAATTGAGGTTAATTTTTAATGAAGGGCAAGATGGTCTTTTGACATTTGGAGGAGTGTTTTAAGTGTTGGAAGAGCCTTAGGGCTCATTTTCGCCCAAATAGAGAGAGAAAGAGAGGGAAGAAGAGAAAGAGGAGAAAAGAGGCTCCAAGGTATGTAAAATGGTCCAATCTCAAACCCCTTTGGTTTTTCTTCATTTTTTTCTACATGTTTAGCTTCCTCTCTTCATTTTATAGCTTTTAATCGGTGTAGATTTTTGTATTTGGATGTTATTATGTATTGTAGAGAGAGAAAGTGAGTTTACCCTCACCCATGGAATATTTTGCTTGAATCTTGATTATTCTTGTTATAGTAACCTTAGATATTATTTTATTCGATGATGTTTATGTTTTTATTGTTGGATTAAACTTGAATGAAGTGATTATGGTTGAAATGTAAGAGAAATGGGTGAGATGATGTTGAAATGGAATAAGGGCATGTTTTGTTGGAGTTGAAATGGGGAAAAACGAGATTAAAGGCATGTTTGGATGAAATATAAATGTTAGAGATAAATTAAAGGCATGTTTGGATGAAACCCAAAGGTTAGAGAGAAATTAAGGGCATGTTTGGATGAAACCCAAAGGTTATAAATGGAGGAAAATTTGTATTTGTACATTGTAGGGTATAGTTATTGTTTTCGTATGTGTTTTTAGGAATTATCTCTCATGTTGTGTATTCCCTTTGTAGGAGAGGATACCCAGCTACTACAGACCCAGACCTACAGCTTTAGGAGCACCCTTGTAGGCTCTTTTGCAAGATGAGTGGGAATCTTTCTAATCTTAGTTTATTTCCGCAAATTATGATTTATAATGAACAATGCTCATTTTCAAACTCAAATATATGTTGCTACTGAAAACATGGGAAATAGTCCAGCTATGTTATATTTTCGAGTATATACTTAATTGCATGGTTTTCATGACTTTATGTTATTTTGGTGCCTTAGCACCCAGACATGATATCAAGCAGCCATCTGGGACAGGTGGCAATTCTACGTGTATAACATATATGTATGTTTATTGTCCCTAATGGGAAATGGACCATGCGCCAAAGACTGTGTTAGCTTGGCCGGGAAGTGGCGGACCCTAGCGCGAGCTACACGATGTTGTAGCGCCCGACATATTTATGTTTTGCCCAATGAGGGCCCATGTTATATTTTATGATTTTACTGCCCCCAAACACCTTCGGTTGTGCACATCCGACCAGAGTATATGTGAATATGAAATACGACCCTTATGATGTTTTTATGATATTTATGAAAACTTTTATGATTCATGCTTATACTTTCTTATGTATTATGACTTGGCACAAAAATAATTAGCTTTTATAATGTTGAAACATTTACTGTGATGCCTCTTGACATGCAATTTTTCAAGAATGTTTATATTGCATAATTAGCTACAAAAACTGACTGTTTCCACTGGGATTAGTTTGATTACCATTCACTGGGACGTTAGTTTCACCCACTATATTTTTTCCCCCTGCCGATGCCGAGTTTTTGAGTTAGAATCTTGGTGTTCGTATCATTTGTGTTTTGTACTTTATAGCACCAGGTTGGGCCAAGCTATTGGAGACTTATTTGATTTTTGCTTTGTGGATACGAGCTATGTATGATGGAGTTAATTTATAATTTGGATAATTGTAACAGATTGTATTGTTTTGAGACCTTGTGGATGATTATAGTTGTTTTAGTATTATTTGGTGGTTTTGAGCATAGCATGATGTTAAATGAATTTGGAAATGTGATACAGGATTGATTTATGCTTAAGTTATGTATGGAATGAATTATTACAAGTTATGTATATCATGTGAAGTTGATGTTTTAAGCAGGTACTCAGACTTAGGGCCTTAAGGCCATTTTTGAGAGGGGTTACAGTAGCCGGCATGCTGCCGGATTTTACCCGACGGTGTGTTGGTTATTGCCCGATTGTCATGCCCCTTGAGTTGTAAATGGTTGGGTGTGACAGTTAAAGTGGTATCAGAGCACAGGTTTAAGAGGTCTTAAGGCTTAGGAGGAAAGAGTGATATGATTCTTGTTCATGCATAGCATTTATGTATAAATGTGTTCTAAATGGTGATTTGTGACTTTTGTATGAAATACGATGGAAGCTTCTAGAGGTAGAGGTAGAGGTAGAGGACGGGGTAGACCCGTAGGGAGCAGAGAGCTGGCCCACCTGATAGGGACACTGTTGGTAGTGCTGCGTCAGTGCCTAGAGAGGCAAACCTCCCACCACCTCAGGATTTACCCCCACAGCATACTCCTACGGTACCACAGACTTACATACCGTCAGCACCCCCTCCTCCACCTGTTACTCAGGTGCCACCTCCAACACAGACCGTGCCACCTCTAGCACAGACCGTACCACCCGTACCACCAGTTGCCCCGACGCCACCAGTTCCCATAGTCACCCCGAGCTAGCAGCAGTTATAGCTCACGCAGTAGGGGCAGCCATTGCGGCTAGTGCTTCAGCTACGAGGACTAGGCCCGATGATGAGAAGATTATTGAGCGAGCTAGGAAGCTTGGATTTACAGAGTTCCATAGTACTACAGACCCTCTATAGGCAGAGAGATGGATTAAGGATGTGGGGCGGGTGTTTGATTTGATGCGCTGTCCCGAGGATCAGCAGGTGCAGCATGCTACTTTCTTGTTCAGAGACCGTGCACTTGAGTGGTGGACGACATTTCAGGCCCGACAGACAGCAGGTAGAGTTCTCACTTGGAGGGAGTTTAAGGAAGAGTTTGACATACAGTATTTCCCTCCAGTTTATCAAGACCAAAAGGTGGTGGAATTTATGGAGTTAAAGCAAGGGAATATGACAGTTGCAGATTATGAGGCTAAGTTCATCAAGCTATCCCGTTTTGCACCACACTTTGTAGCTGAAGAGCGGGATAGGTGTAGATTTTTCGAGAAGGGGCTCCGATGGGAGATTTATAGGGCCACGCATCCACAGCCATATACCACATTTGCAGAGTTGGTGGTATGTGCCACGAGAGTTGAGGAAGTTGAGGCAGGATATGCCCGTCGACGACATGAGAGGTTTAAGAGGAGTGGATCGGGAGGCACATCTGATAGGAGGGAAGGTCAGGGCTCGAAGAGATAGGCC